GGGGGGGGGGGGGGGGGGGGGGGAGCGCAGAAGGGAGGAGGAGGTCGGGGTGGAGATGAGAGAACAGGAATGGGAGCACATATATATATAGCACAAAATCTTTCGATTGCTCGTTTTTTGTGAACAAACAACTGCTTTTGCGATATTTTTTGTTGCTAGTCATACTTCTCGTCAGTTAGTACCATAAAAACTGAATACCATGTCAGCACGATAAGGAACAGGAACTGAGGCACTATTGTCCATGGGTATACATCGCTGTGCATGTCCGTAGCACGAGCACGACCCACGAACGACCAGTTCATAGATTGCATAGTAGTATTTCTCATCTATTTCGGGCCTGAAATAAAAATATGTTGTTTTGTGCCTCAGTGAATGCACAAAACGAGTAGCGACAAAGAAAAAAAAAAACGAAAATAAGGAAAATATAACAGCTACTTGCTCGCATGCGAACTAAATACAAGGAGAAATCAGAAAAATCACAAAAGCAAAAGTGGTGGACGTGACGAAGATTTTCCCCCCTAAACACACCTGTAGTCTAACAAGTCGTCGCCAAGCGTATGAAGTTTGGTGAAATTCATTCGAATATTTGTTACTTTCAGTAAATTGGCGATCTCATCTGCATACGGATTCTCTGTCGGAATATGCGGTGATATCACTTTGTAAACCAACTGAAAATTTTTCATTATTAATTGTATGCCCTGTAGTACAAAATTTTAGCATTTTTTCACTCATCTAAACGCTGCAGCGAATAAAAACGGAAGCGGAATCCCCGCAAATACTTCTGTTTTTTTTTTCATTGAGACAGTAAGAACTAACCTCGCCTCCTGTAGAAGGTGCAACATCACTGTATCGTCTGGTACAAATGACATCTGTGTGTTTCTTCGGTGGGCCTTCCGGAATATTCGGGAATGTGTTCTGGCAATCATAAGCAAAGTAACGATAAGGAGACCTGAAATTTGTAAGCTATCAGCATAAAAAAGCAGCAAGCATAAACTATCTTTACCAAAACCAATGCTTTTCAAGGGTTCTGATTGGCTGAGATGCGTAGATTCTTGTGGCCTTTCAGAAAAAGAAAATCTGAACGTCCTTTGCTACGCAATAAAATTTTCAATAATTCACACAATTAATGCTGAAAAACTACCGATACACACTTTTCCTAGAAAGCGACTACAGGAATCCCAAATAATTGGCTACTAAAAATCAGCAATTCCAGCCTGAACTCCTTGTAGGTTAAATTTCACTGCTCGCATCATTTTAACAAAAAAGCGATATTGTCGAGTGCCCTCTAAAATCTAATGCAAATAACTCCACAACCCTGCTGTCTGTACTTCCAGAAATCCGCGACAACTAGCTTCGTAATTTAAAAATCCAAGCTTCTCCCTGTACAATTATCTCAGGTGGCCTGAAATTATGCTGCCACTTGTTAAATCAGGGTAGCTGAAAATAACTTGAAGTTTGCGAGGCCAAGCCAGTGGAGTAAACGACTGTTTTCAGCATATGCCATGGGAGCATCCATTCCAGATTAGTTTACGTAGGGCCGGCCTGAGTTAAACTAGATCCTGTTACATTCACAAAATCTTCAAAAATAATTTATGCAAAATCCCAGGAATGTATATGCCTAGCGAAAGAGAAACTGTCTAGATATGTCCAGCAACATGCCTGAATAATGGCTGCACAAACCAAACAATTTTATCGGAATTTCGTCTATGTATACCTAAAAACGAAACATTGTATGAACAAATCCAGCAGGCTACAGAGACTTGGTCTGGATCTGTCCAGAAACCTACCTCTTCAGTCCGAAAAAAAAACAGCGCAATAGAAAAATATACAAACAAGTTACTCTAACACGAATTTCTGCGAGAGTTGCTGTATTTACAAAAGATGTGGATGAAACGAGCCATGTTTTAGCGTAGTCGGCCGAACGTTCGATTATCATAGCAGCCGGACGAAACGATTTGAAAGTGATGATGAGATGAGTGAAATGAAATTCCGCTTCAAGATCGAGTCGTATCGAGACATTTTGCACACCGTTTTCTGACTGCCACCAGTTTCTGTTCCGATCCTCGTACGATTCTGACACAACATTTTCAATCCTGAAGAAGACTGCTACAAAAAAAGTCACTCTATATAAAAGAGAGATAGAACTAGACCAAGAGTGTTGGGAGGTGATCATGCATTTCGCGTAAAATTTCATGTGGCAGTAAAAATTTTGCCAGTAAGAGTGTTCAGTGCTTCACAGTTTGGTATGTGTATTCGTGCTGCATATGTTTTTGTTAGTCGTTTCTTTCACGTTCCAAGGGAAG